AGCCATTCATCATGACCGGATGGGGTGCCGGATTCCGTAGCGAAGGAAATTCTTCGCTTGTTTTTTTCTTTAGTTTGTCTGGTAGAAGGATGTTCAGAGTCACTATCCTGGCTTTCTTCATCCGGGGTAAATGCCCGGGTACGTTTGGAGACAAGACCAGGAGAAGTTTCATTAAATTCTTGCTGAGAAGGAACACAGTTTTGAGTTTCGATATTTTGTGAGGCGTTGTTTGAGATACCCGTGAGGTGTACGGGTGAAAGAGATGACATTTTTTTTTTTATTATCCCATCTTTCATTAAAATAATTAAAGAAATAAATACTGGGCAGGAGACATTCCTTCAAAATCTCTGGACATTTTTCGTACAAAAGTAAAAATATTCGAGCTAACCAAAGACGAATTTCAAAAATTATACGGATACGCTAAAAACGAAGGTAGCACAATTCAAGCAGTGTTATATGCGGCAGTACTATTTTCTGCAACCAAATATCTTGTAACCATCATCGATGACTGAAAAAATCTACTTTATCCCTTAGTATATCAACACCGTTTTCTCTTCGTCCGACCACGGATCCACCAATCTCCCCAAATGAATTTGGCGTCTACCTAACAGAATTCACCGCCAATTCGCAAGTGAGAAGGATTCATAAAACAGAGTTTTGGAATCTAGCAAGGGGTTGGCGAAGAGATTTTTTAAAAAGAAAACCCGAGGCTATGCACCAGATCTGGTTGCTGAAATTTTTGGGAAAATGTTACGAAGAGTGGATAAAATGGCTGAATGGACGACGATTTGCAATTGAAAATGATGGAATGGGAAGGAATGCTTCCGGTGAAATATCGAATCTGGGAAGATGGGTGGTTGCTGATGACGGGGAGCATGAAAAAAGTTCTGGAACAGATATAGGTATGATAAAAGAAGAAAAATGGGCAATAAAAGATATGACATTCTCACAATGTGCAGATGTAAGTTTTTTTGTTCATCCTTTAATTTCAGCTTCAGACGCAACGATATTATAACTTGATAAATACATAATCCATATGAATAAAATTAATTTATATAGGTGGTTGGCCCTGCTTTCACCATTAATGTGGTAACATATGAGGATAATTTTCGAGGCACAGTGACGTATCAAGAGGACGCAATTTCCAACAATAAAATGGAGAAATTTGTTAGTGGATTGACCAACATTTTGAGATGTGTGGCTGAAAAAGGAGATGTCAAATTTGGGGAACTTTGAACTATTATTATTTATGTTTAATAGATTTGGCAACAATTGGCTTTTTAAATTTTGGAATTTATTGTGTAAGGAACTTGTATAAGTAACATAATTACGAATTTATCTCTTCAAGTGATTTCTAACCGAATTATCCAGTGTTGGCAATCGCAACAATTAATCGATTATAATTGATATAACGATACGATTACATGTACATGTATTTCATTTATCTTATTATTTTATATTATTTACTGTATTTAATTTCTATTGAAAGGAGGAAAAATATTTGACTAGACATGTTACGCTTTAAAAATACAAGATAATTAACCATATCTGGATCCAGCTGATTTCGTTTAGCGTTAGAAAGAAGTAATTCTAATGTCCGTTGAGATAAACAAACAATACTGATATTCTTAATCATGTGGTTTAAATAAGCTTACTCTAATAACGATAAATGTTTTGGATTATTAAGAATTTCTTCTGCTGTTCCATATTTAAGCTTGTTTTTGTTATATAATGAATATCTCCCAAAATGTCCTATATAATAATTGTTGTACCAAACCAGACGTAATTGGTCATACATCCATTAAATAGGCATTTCACGCGTTTATATAGGTTCACCATCATTTTCTGGAACTAATAACAACTAGAAAATTTCCCAGGCGAAACTTCGTTTTGAACTAGAAACTCGAAGTTGTTCAATATTAGATTCATTATTTGAATTGGAAGCTCGAAGTCGTTTTAAAGGTCATTTAATTTTGTAATTTAGAAAAAAATTGAATTGAATATATTTGAATTTAGCAATATATATTTAACTATGAAAAATTTAACGAATCATAAAATTAAAATAGCTTCTTGTAATTTTATAATCGGATAGTTATCAATTAAAAATCATAATTGTTCACTCAACTAACTAAATAATTATTCACTATCGATTGATAACATTAC